TCAAGAAAGTATGCGAAGTTTTTCCTATAGCTCTCAGTTCACTAAAATATGAGAGAATCCACACAGCAGGTATCTCAGAAATTAGCTGCAGAAATGTCTTTCCTTAGGTTTTATTTTGATAGCTGCTTAGAAATTTATCAGTCCTTTTTTCTATCCTTCTTTCATGCAGCATTGTATACTTGCTTGGGAGTGTAGGAAAGGGACCTCCTGTAAATGTAGTATTTTGTGGATCAGGTTAATTTCATTGCATTGGAAACTCCTAGTTTGTCTACCAACACTAAAATGGAATATTTTTTCCCTGATCTCTGCTTCAGCCCAGACCACCTTGATGTGCGTTTAGGATTTGACCTCTGCATACAGGAAAAAGACTTTCTCTGCAAAAGGAAGAACTATGTTATTCCTGCTCTGAAGAAGGTTCTGCAGCTGGAACAGGATCTGCTGGACCATGAGGTTTGTAGGGAAAACTTTTAAAACATCTCACCAGTGCTTAGCAGTGAGAACTTAATGGCATAATACAACCTCTTTTTCTTCATGGTTAAAAGTTTTTCTGATCTTTCCTCACCTTAAAACTTACATATACGTCCAGTACTGCCCTATACCTCTAAATTCACTCTGCTGTTTGTGTCCTTTGCAGTTGCTATCCTGAGTTTAACCCTTTTCCTGCTACACCTGTCTTGGAAGTCAGACCAGATATTTCTTATATAGGAATGGCTTCTTCCACACTCTTTACTATTGTTATCCTTATTGATGGTCTCTCCTTTCTTCAGCCTGTGAGTTTTCCTTTTAATCCCTGTTGTTTCAACTGATTTTTTTCTGTCTTACTGTCTCTTTTGACTTGAATTAATGCATTTTTATTTGTTTCATGCCAAACATCTCTGTTGAACACACTGGAGACAAGTGTCAGATTTCTAATGGTCATTGCTTCTATTCCTGCTCTCCTTTATAAAATAAATGGTAGGTTATATTTCAGTAGAAATCATTTAGAAAGGAGTCTGTGGCTGGGCACAGGTGGTGGTGGCAGGCTTTATGTATCACTCTGAGGTCAGGTGCAGCCACCGTGTGACGCCGGCCCTTTCTGTCCCTGTGTTGCACAGAGCCCGGTGGTGGCCATCATGACCACGGGAGGAGGGATGAGATCCTTGACCGCACTCTATGGCAGCCTCAGGGGGCTCAAGAAGCTCAATATCTTGGACTGTGCCACCTACCTGACTGGCTTGTCTGGTACCACATGGTGAGTGGCACTGGGCAGCCCTTGGCTGGAATCTCCCTCACGACACCAAAGGGCTGAAGGAGGCTGGGGCTCATGTACAGTAGTTTACCTATAACAACTTCTCAGCAGTCCTACTTCTTGATCATCCTCCAAAACTGACAGAATAAAGTCTTTTCTTGGGGGAAAGTCACATAATTTGTAACTATATGAAAACAAGCATTTTTCTAAGAATGGTCTATGGAAAATTGTTCAAGCTGTTTCGAAAGGAGTAATGACTGTGACTTCAAAGGGAACATGACAGTTTCATAGGGAATTGAAGAAAGGAAGCATTAATCAAGAACTTAAACCAGAAACATTAAATGTAGCTATTGCCTACCTCAAGCCTTGGTGTGCTTTTTATCCCTCTTCAACATGGATTTCTCTTCCTAGGACCATGTCAAACTTGTACAGAGATGCTGACTGGTCACGAAAGGATCTCGACAAGCAAATCAGTGAGGCTCGAAAACATATGACAAAATGCAAAATAAATTCCTTCTCCTTGGAATATTTGAAGTATTACAAAAAGCAGCTGTGCCAGCGGAAAAGAGAGGGCCGCAAAACATCTTTTATAGATTTCTGGGGGCTTGTCCTGGAATCTTTTTTGCATGATGGGGTACAGTATATCATAAAGCAGCATTTCCTGTGGCTTACCATTTTCTGAAAATTTGTTTCTAGAGAAGATATTTTTCTGTTGGCTCCGAGAAAAGGAGTTTCTGAGACTTTGCAAGCAAATATGCAGCCATTTCCAAAACTTTGGTACCAGACTTGTAGATACTCATCCATGGTGGAAATCAGCATTCTTGCTTGTGAAATTTTGAGTATGTTTTTCTGAGAAAATTCCAAGACTAACATTCAGTTAAATGAAACAGTATTACTGAAGTAGTATTACAGTTTAGAATTTTTTCAAATTCTGCAAATTACTTTAGAAATAACAAAATTGCAGATATTAGGCATGCACATCAGAGGTGTTAACAAAAGGACCTGCAGAGTTTTGAATGGTGTGAGGTCCTCCATAAAGCTGCAGCACAATGCAATAACATGTTTTATATCAAAAGTATTGCTTTCTGCTCTGTATTATTCCTTTCCATTTTCATCTTAATCTGTCATCAAATAATCTGGCATCAGATTGGATGGGTGCAGCTCTTTCAGTAGCAGAATATCTGTGGGAATTTTGAAAACTATGGAACATTTCAGAAGATAAGCCAAGCACACATCATACATTAGAGGCAGGAATTTTTCTGCCCTGCAAGCTTAGATGCAGAGAATATTGCCATGCTGTTTTTTGTCTCAGTGTAACCGTATTTCTGGAATCACAGAAAGACAACCACAGACTCTCTGATCAGCAACGGGCCATTGATCGTGGTCAGAACCCACTTCCTATCTACACTGCAGTCAATGTCAAGAACAACTACAGCACTCTGGATTTCAAAGGTAACTATGAGACTTCTTGGAGTCATTTATCTTTATATTTAAGGTGGTAAATCATGGAACAGTCTTTTTAGACAGCCTTAAAACCCCCTCTTATTTGAAGACCAGAATCTCAGTTGATGTGTGTTCATATAATACCCTTGTGGTCAGGTAAAATTTGACTGTCTATGCAACAGACTCAAAAATATTCCAAAGCCTTTCCACATTCATGAGTTTTCAGTTGTAGCATGCTTATAACTCATTGCTATTGGTCCGAAATATTAGACTCAAAAATTATTTTGAGGTCTCTAGTAAAACATTGTTCTCTTCTCTGGGTACTTTTTTACAGAATGGGTGGAGTTCACCCCATATGAGATAGGATTGCAAAAATATGGAGTTTTTGTTCACACCGAGGATTTTGGCAGCGAGTTCTTCATGGGACGATTGATGAAGAAGGTCCCTGAATCCAGGATCTGCTTTTTGGAAGGTAAGCTATTAAAAACAACAAATTATTTTATTGCTTGTTTTGTTTTGGGGGTTTTGTTTTGGGTATGTTTTTGGGGTTTTTTTTTGTTTTTTTTTTTTAATGTGAGCTATATAAACTACACTCTAATAAAATAGGTGGAGGGCTAAGATGGCAGTTTCACCAGAGAGGATAAATATATTTTTGCCAAATTAATACTTACTATAATGGATTCAGTTTACAGTAAAGAAAAAAATTCAGAGGGACAGTCAGTTATTTATAGTAGTTATTTACACTATTAAACCTACTTTTGAATTAAAATATAGTATGGCTTCCAGTACAACAACAAAATTGAGGTCCTTGTGAATCCATGGTTCAGCCCATGCTACCCCAGAAGGGTGAACTTCCAAGCCTATTGCCTGTCTCACAAGTGGTCAGTATTTTGCAGGCTCCCTATAAACATTTCACATGAGCCTTTATGCTGATTCTCTGCATCAGGGTGTGTTTGAGCGTGCCAGGCCCTCCAGCTCCAGAGGAGCAGCCACATGTCACTGGCTCCAGTTTCCACAGTGCCTGCGCAAGCCTGGGGGAAAACAACACAGCCATCCTCAAAACATTTTTGCTCTTGGCTGCAGCAGAGTATGGCTATGTGTTCTCCTGACAAACAGACAAGCTGTCAGCTTGTGACTGACTTCACAAGCAAACTTCTCCTTGACTGGCCAGTTGACAGAGCAGAAGGAGACACTGTGCTATTTCACCTCAGTCTGTGCTGGATTGTCCCACATTTGCACTCCCTGAATGAAGAAACAGTGAGAACTTGTGCCCTAATGGATAACCAAAGAAATTGCTTTTCAAGCTCAAAAATTCATGGTCAAAACTGATCCCTTGGTGTGTTAACAGGCTTATTCTCAAAAAGGGAATCCCAGAAAGGCAGAGGCTGTAAGGTTAGGTTGTAGTTATGCCCTCACCAGTATAATTTCACATCAAATCTCTTGGATTGCAAACTTTCATCCTTTCTTTTTGTACAAGCTTCATGATACTTGGGAGTTTTTCCTAAAAATACAAATTCCATATTAATTCACAAAGATCTCCATTAATTCACAAAGATCTCCACAAAGATCTTTTTGTCTAACATAGACAAAAAACTGGATATCAAAAATAAGGTCTAAAACCCAGCAGCCAAATAAAAATGACACACCATGCTTTTAAAACAAAATGACAAAAAACAAACTTCACGAGTTTCATCATAACAGTTTGAGATTCATGATATATGAATGTTTGAATTAGAAAGCTCTTTTCTTTCACAGGCATGTGGAGTAGTTTATTTTCATTCAATGTGTTATATATCTGGAATTTGTCCCATTCATCAGAAGATTTCTGGCACAGGTGGACCCGGGACCATATTGACAATATAGGTAAACAGCCATACTTCTTTTTCACTGTGTATTTATCGTCAAATGGAGTTATATGTCTCATACTGCAAAGTACAAATAAATAATTTTAAAATCTCTGATCTTGTGATCTATCAGGGGTCAACATTGATGCTAGTAGATGATTAAAATGTTAAGAAATAATAATATTGATCTGTAAATTATTAATAGAGCAAAACAATTTTGGCTGCTTCAAGTGGGAGGTACAGTAATACAAAGAAGCTCAATACATGTCCTTTCCAAAGCCTGTTCCACAAACGCGTGTATGTCTGGAGCGGACTTTTATTGTTGCTTGACTCTGTATCTTGGGGGTTCTTATCCAAGTCCAGACTGTGTAAGGAAATGGTATTTGTCTAGTGAGAGTAGCTTCTCATTTTCTGTTTTGTTTGGTCACCTATGCTTGTTGGTCCTTTAAAAAAGAGAGAGCAAAAAGAGAGGGTTTGTTACTTACCTCGACTCCGTGAGGGCGGTCCCTGCTCTGGGCAGGTGGACTTCACCATTTTTCCCCGCAGAGGAGGAGCCGGCGCTGACCGCGCAGCCGCAGGAGCTGCGCACGCGGCTGTCCACGCCGCCCGGGCCCCTGGGCAGCGCCCTGCGCGCCGCCCTCACCGACCGCGTCTGCCTGGCCCAGGAGCACAACTTCCTCCGGGGCCTCCAGATCCACAACCAATACCTGGAGAACGCCCACTTCCGCAGGTGGAAAGGTAACGGGAGACCTGCGGGCCTGGGGAGACCATAAACCAGCTGAAAAAAACAAACCCCAAATTTGACAGTAGTGGGGTTGGAGGCCAGGTTTGGGCAGAATCTCTATAACATCAATCTATGGTTGATCATACTGGTGTTGAGTTACGTATCAGTGATTTGCTGGTGGCGCTCACCTCCAGAGGCTGGGCCACCAGGTCCTTCCTCTTTTCCAAGACACACTCGGTGGGGACGCACAGTATACCCCCTTCATGAATGTTATTGCTGCAGGTCCAAAACTGCATGTGCAGCTGAGAGGGAAGAAGAGAAGGGATATGGCAAATCTCCCTTCCCTAAGGACTGTAACCAGCTCTATGGACATTGTGTAAGGGTGGAAAAACAGGCCAACAAGTTTTGTGGTATTGCACTTACAGCAAGAGTTTCTTTTCTTTCAGATACTGTCTTAGACACATTTCCCAACCAGCTGACACAATCAGATGACTTCCTCTCTCTGGTAGATACTGGATTTTTCATCAATACAAGCGTCATGCCACTTTTAAAACCAGAGAGAAAGGTGGATGTCATCCTGCATTTAAATTACAGTGCAGGATCCCAGATACAGGTGAGAGTAATTGAAACAGTCTTTATGTCTTCTTCAATATGTGTATACCTGTAATTTTTTTTTAACACTTTTTATATTGGTCCTACTAAAAATCTTAACCTTTAGCATTTTTAGCTTAATGGTGAAGCACAATGCATCTTTTATAGGCTGCATGTAGTCTCGTTTGTTTTTCTTGTAGATAAACTGTATTGTGCTAAGACTCAGGAAGACATTTAAAAATCACAAAAAAAACCTCAGTCCAGTGTCACAGTGGTTTTTATTAGGGGTTAAGAGCTTTTGCACAAGCAACTTAGAAAATACCTACTTTATTACTGGACTCCAGGAAATCCTGACCCTTAAAATCCTATTTGAAGTCTTAGTACTACTCTGTTCCTTGATCCAGGCTTTGGACCAGACCTGCAAGTACTGCTCTGAGCAGGGAATTGTTTTTCCCAGGGTGGACTTGAGTGAAGAAGACAGGAAAAAGCTGAAGGAATGTTACCTCTTTGATGGTGCTGAGACTCCAGGAGCACCAGTACTGCTATTTTTCCCGCTAGTTAATGATACCTTCCAGAAATACAAAGCACCAGGCAAGTACGCAAACATGTTAAAAAGAAGTTTTACATCATGGACAGCCTATTAAAAGGAGTGTATATAATACTCCAACTCTTGAACTTCACTGTTGACTCTTTTCAGTACATCAAACATTTCTGTTGCTTAAAGTTAATTTTTTTAACCATGTGAGATTTGATGCAAGGGCTGTGGTGTTTCCATCCCTAAGCTAGTTATCTTGCAGGTAATTAGCTTTCAGGTAACTTTGATGTTTCTACTAACGTGTTCCATAGATACATACTGTGGGTACCTTCAGGTACAGCTAAGAACTAGGCTGCAGACCCATAAAAGAATAATCACCGTTTTTTCTTCCCTCATCCTGTGAGGCCAGTCTGGTATGCACTTGAGCCAGGGACTGAACTGCCAATTTGAATAAGAGTTATTTGGTTTTTTAAAAAATAAAGTCAAACAATTAATTTACGCTGTGAACTCTCTCTGTGGAGAGAAACCTCCTTTCCTTCCTCTGTTAAGAGTTTGCTTGCTTATGACCAGGGTGATTTCTCTCAGCAGTGATTTCTCACCCCTTCCTCGTAGGTCAGAAGCGCTCAGAGTCAGAGATGGAAGATGGCAAAGTTGATCTCTACGGCTGCTGTTCCCCGTATTCTACATACTCCCTTCAGTACACTGAGAAGGCGTTCGACTGCCTGGTTCAGCTGGGTGAATACAACATCCTCAACAATGAGGACCTCATTTTACAGGCCTTGCGCACAGCAGTGGCACGGAAAAGGCAGATGAAGAAATAATGTCAGACAAGACAAGGTGCCTTTAGGTCCTTTAACCTGCTGAGAGACTGAAGGTCTCTTACTATTGGCCAGCAGGCTTCAAAGCATTCCTGCTCAATCCCACTAAATGGTAATCTCAGGTGAACAAAAGACTGAAGAAAAACTTTTTCTCCGAAGAATTTCACTGCAGAAATCTGTTGCAATTCAGTTACAACAATGGAGTATGAATCATTGTATGGTACAGAGGATGGGCAGCCGCAAAGAAGAAGGTGCTAAAATGATAATCAACATGGTGCTCGTTGCCCTGAGAAAGAGCTTTAAGTGTTTAAGCCTGACATCTTCAGGGAAGACCACATTAAAAGCATATTTTATTAACTTGGCTTGTGTTTTGTATTTGCAAGGTGGTCTTGAGACAAGCAGCAGCCTTTGGGACAGGTTTGTGACTGGGATCATGGCACGCTGCATGCTTAGAGAATAGCACTGTGGAAAGGGACCTGGGAGTCTGTGGCAAGTTGAATATGAGCCAGCAGTGCCCTGGCAGCCACAAGGACCAAGCTTGTCCTAGGGTGCATCAGGCCCAGCGTCACCAGGCGGGCAAGGGAGGGGGATAGTCTCTGCTCTGCACTGGGGTGGCCTCACCTCTAGTCCTTGGTATGGTTTTGGATGCTACAGTGTGACAAGAAAGATTATATTCTGTTTATAAACCCCCCTTTATCTGATGTATCCAGCTTTTCCTCTTCTCTTGCACTCACTCCAATTCTTCATTTTCTCTTTATCAAATGCAGATTCCAGTACCCTTCCCATTACTGCTACACACTGAGACATTAACATTGCTTTGTTATTTTTATATTCTTACATAAGAATACTTACATAAGAATTCTTACATATTCTTATTCTTATATAAATGAGTTCCCAGTTTCTATACATAGAATCCAGTTGTCCTCATTTGTTATTAAAGGCTTCTCACCAGTTGTTTGTCTTCCATAAGCTGGTTAGTTAGTTTTTTCCACACTCCTGTCTTGCCTTTTGTATGGGGAAGGAAATTAAAACATACATTTGGCAATTCTTTAATCATAACTCACACTCCAGTGCATTAAATTTTACCATGGTTGATCAGGCCAGTCTATCAAGTAGATCAGATCATTCTTTATGACTTCCTTGTCCTTAGTACTACTCCCTTGATCTTTGTTCTGCAAATCTGGCCAGTCATCATGCCTGGTTTACTTCCAAAGCACTCATGAAAATGTCCAATAGAGTTTGAGACTGGTAAACTCTTAAAAATTCCTCAAAAGAAAACTTTTCAGTGACATTTATCACTGAGGACTACTTCTGAAATCAGTTAGAAAAAATATTCTTTACCTTCCTGATACAGACTTTCTTTTCAGTCATTGCATTAAAAGATCTTACTATCTTTGCACAATAAACTTTAAAAAATGTGATATTCAGGATAGAACAAAATCTGTTTCTTCATATTGAAAAACACTATTTCCTAGTGACTGGCTACCAGAGACAGCTCGGGGCTTACCAAAACTGCTCATCACCTTACAGGGAACCTCTAGCTAATGCTAACCCCAGAGAGATCTCTTTTCCATGCAGTTACCTTTCATTGCCATTTTGCTATGCCATGCACATTTCTGGGAGGACATCCTGTAATTACTTTGACATCCTTTGCAGCCTTGGTAGCCTTGGTACATGCTGGTCACTTAAAGGCAGCTTCAGTAACCTGCCTTGCAAGATCAATGCATGCGTAGGACAGCACATGTTTTGGTCTCACAGTGGCACCACCTCTATAACATACCTAAAATAGGAAATTAGAGAAGAATTTCTTTGCATAGTCCAAATATAAGTAAGACTTTTACAAAGTTTAAAAAAGAAAGAAAAAGGAAAAAAAAATAAAAGAAAAAGGAAAAAAAAATTTAAAAAAAAAGAAAGGCGCAGTTATATCCCTTTATTAATATCAACTTCCACTGGCTTTCCCATCCTTTTTCCCTGTTCTTTTATTTCACAGCTACATGGTTCTTAAGCTCTTTACTGAACCATATGGATAGGCATTCAGTTCACATGCAAGGAAGGTAGGTCTTTTAATTCTGCATTCATGCAAAGTGTTTCAGACATAATTTTTTACTCCAAATATTCCATGCTGTTTTTATACACACATATATATGGAATTTGATTGGGTGGAACCTGTCCAGACAGTAAATTGTACTTGTTAATGACTGTCCTAAGGCCAACTAATTACACATCAACAATCTTTTTTTGGCAAAACACTCCCTTGTGTGGTGGAGCACAGTTTTCAGTGGATAATTGCTTTGTGTGCTAAAAGTTATATATATATTATAAACATTAACAAATGCTGTACAAAATGTATGAAGCATAAAAGTAAGGAATGTATTCAACTTGAAACCAACTCTTCCTTTAACACAGATATTTCTATCAACTACTTCAGGGATGATGGAACATGTGGCATGCATGACTACCATCCCACATTTTGAGGAATAGCAAGAGAACCCAGAGTGGTAGTATATGATAATTTATTTTTAATTAGTCAGATATTGTATTCATTATGCCAATGGCAGCCAGAGTAAACAAACCACTGGAACATTACTACATCCCCCTTGCTACTTTTAAAAATTGGCACAATATTCACATTCTTTCTGTAGTTCTGCAGTATACCAAGAATTAAAATAGCTGAAGCATAGATAGTCAAGAATCCTAGACAATGTTTTAGAAACTAATTGGTAAGAATGATCTCTGTTCTGTCTTATTACCTGTTGTTTGACTATGTGATCATTTTCATTATTCATTGATGAAACATGTAAAGTGTCTTTTTGAACATAGAATACAAGTGTTTTATTATCATTTCTGATTTAGTTGCATAATTAGTAATTATTTTTGCTTTTTATATGAAGTA